TCCTATCTTAGAACCTTGCTGACATTGTATATCTCCTATCTAATAGCCTTGCTGACATTGTATATCTCCTATCTTAGAACCTTAATATAAACCCTCCAACGTGCAAAGCTCAACTTCTGTAGCTGAGCGTACATTTATGGTAGCCATTATAAAATATAAAAAAGTTACAACAAAGAAATAAGTCAACACACTTAATTAAGCAATTAAAAATGATTCACAAGGACAGTATACTAACGTTACTACAAGTAGACACGTGTATCTGTCCCGTATAAAATGCAAACGATTACAAATACGATTTACAGTTTACAAAATAATTTCTAATTCCTAAAATAACTAATTTCTAACCTAATGCAATATTAACCTAACTAAACATATAATAATTTCCTTACAGTATAAAAATTCCTAATTCTAATGATACTCAAGTCTTGCCTGTCATATGTATTCCGCCAATATGGGCGGCCCACTTTACAAGGCGAACGGAGTTCATACAAAGTAACAAATAAACTTAGTTAAATTAAATATAAATTTCAGAACATCAGTGAACACCGCCGACTCTGAATTACCCCTAATAATAATTAAATAAACAATAATAAACTAATAGAACTGTCCCAAATTCTCTCACTCGTTATTCGCGCAATGGTCACAATGGCCAGCGCACGTGGCGAGCAAGAGGGGACCAGCAAGCTAGGTACAAAAGATATCTGGAAAAGAATTGACAAAATTTGTCAAAATAGCGCGAATAGCGCGAGTTGTATCGCACTTATGACACCAATTGTCAAACTGCTCTTAGCTCCTGAAATCAAGTAACAAGTTGGAGGAAAATCACTCACGTGTTGTCTGTTGTATGTCAAGATATTAGAGACCGCGCCGAGAAGTCACATCCAGGTTGTCGGCGCGGTTATCGGTCTAAGGGAGATAACTCTAGCCAAAATTCACCACAACAACAGATTTTTTTTTTAATAAAAATGATTTTAATGATATGGAAGACTAGGAAGACTTTTAAAATTTGTGACTTAAAACAAATAGAAATGAAAAGAAAATACCAATCAATGTTTCGCCCTAAAAAAATTGTTTTAGGGCGAAACAACCTAGGGCGAACGGGATTTGGGGCGAAACAACCTAGGGCGAACGGGATTTGGGGCGAAACAATCCGGAACCACATACATTACGTAATCCGGACTTCTGACAAAATCGGAATTCCCAAATAACTATTTCAAGATGCAATATCCCACAATACCCCGGTTACGTCAGACAGACGAAGATGGCGGAACCAAATAGGTGGGTGTTTTCCGTCGCGAAAAGGCAAACATTAATGTTGTTTAGTTGAAAATCTGTTCGATAAATGACTCTCAATTATTTTACAGCAAATTTGTGGTATGCAAACATGATTATGAAGACACACTGGTCGGGTCCGTCGATTTACAAATACAACCCAACACGATTTGGCCTGTACATACCGGGGTCTTTTCTTTGGTCCTTCCTTGTAGACTGGTGTCACTGTTACCTCTTTCCAACTGACAACACCTTGGAAAGAGGCAACAGTGACACCAGTCTACAAGGAAGGACCAAAATAAGACCCCGGTAACTACAGGTAGCTATGCCCAAGCTAAGGGGAGATAACTCCAATTGAATTTTCGCGTCGCGCCAAAATTTCGTCACACTTTTATACCATCGGAAGAACGGTGATTTTATCGTGCTTGTCCATGTTATAGAAATGGATACATGGTAGGAATTTTATCTTCGATATCCCTCGTCACTTTACTACAGTCTATATTACAAATATCATGGCGGAAACGCAAGGAGCGGAGATTGTGAAATATTGCAGAAGCGACAATTTCCTTATAAAACCGAGTACATCCATCAAAATTATATACAAATGTTCAGTAATTATCCCTTAAAATAAGTATATATATATGCCAATCTGTCAAAACCGTTCTTGGTATGAAAAATGCTGTTGAAATCCCAAGGGGTAGTATAACGGTAAATCCAATATGGCGGACACCTCGCCTCGAAAACGTAAACAAATCCCACCTGTACCAGACAAAACTCGCTAGAAGGATATTGCATTAACGGTTGTTTACCTATCGTGTAAAGGTATCTGTTCTCTTTGTTTTCTGTATATATTTTAAACATTAAATGATGTATATTTGTATAAATTTCGGTACTATTTACTTGTTTCTAAATGATTAAACTTTTAAATTAAGTTACTGTCACTCAGTCTTGACTTAGTTTACATACGCTGATACAGTTAGAAATTGAATAGACCTAAATTTAAATTTATTTCGAGTTTCAGTGTTGTCTGACATACAAAAACTATACAATGGTTGGTCTGTACATAGTTTACATTAAACATATCTAATTGATATGACATGCTTTTGTTTTTCAATATCATTTTTTTTTTTTTATATAAATAAAACTTGTCAGATCATACACCATGTACAAATACAATTTTTTGTTTTTAAATATTATTTTAATGATTTATCTGACTAAAACATATCAGATCATGTGTAATTACAATGAGTATGCTTGAAGACAAGTACCCTTCAGACTCCTGGGTAAGCAAATGCCACAATAAAAGGAGGGGCTGGTATATACATTAAGTACCCCAACTGAGATCAACAATCAGAAGCAATACCAACAGGCCTACATTGTTCAAACTACTAAGTTGAAGAAGACCTTATTCATGCTGCACACTCCATCAAAAACAAAATTGATAACACAACTCAAGTAGTATTCCTGACTGATGCCCTCTCTGTGCTACAAGCTTTGACAAACGACAAGCTTAACCTCAACTTGAACAAGCTTTATACACCATCAAAAGTCTGACAACAGTTCTACAGTGGATTCCTTCTCACTGTGGAGTTTGGGGTAATGAACAAGCCGATAAATTAGCAAAGAATGGTGCTGAACAATAACAGGAAGAAAATCCAGTCTGCTACACAGAGATGAAGACTATCATCAAATCTCTGTTCAACACCCATCAGCAACAAGACAGTTACCACCAACAAGATCTGACCAAACTACCATCTTCCGACAGGACACAACAGACTCAATCAACATCTATACAAAGTCATGAAAGTTGTTTCATCTCCAATGTGTCCTTGTGGAGAAGCAGAGCAGGATACTGCACACCTCTTACAGTCATGGAAGATCCATCAGGCACTGATCATGAGAGATAAGATATGGCATTCACCAACAGTTAGTGAGTGAGTGAGTGAGTGTTAACGTTACCACTCAAAGAAAAGCTATGTGGACCAGTGGATGCCCTTAGCACAGAAGACCACCAGATTTGTTGAGGAGACTGGTATTCAAGTGTAAAGGCGAACGATAAGAAAGAAGATGTGTAATTACCACTGAGACTGGTGCATCAATATATATAATTAAATGAGATTATTAATGTCATTCATTGTGTTTTGTAAGGGGAGGTAACTCTTTGTGAAGTAACATTTTAGCATCATCTCCGGAGTGAGGGGTGATATTTAGCATTGAAATCTTTCATTTTACAATAGAATAGATTGGTTCTGAAATTGTGGTAAAAAAAGAGAAAACAAATTCTCCCATATATACCTTGTTATTGACCTTGTACGCTTTTTTGATTGTTTTCAGGAAAATGCTAGAAAACAATTGTGAAATTTCACGATTTCAAAAAATTCGTAAAAATCCAATTTTGAAGATAACATGGTTCTGATTGCTGTTTTGTAATCAGGTTATGGTAGTCTCTAGGAAAATGACGAGAAATAAATCACTTTTGGTTTAAAAAAAAATAGTTGGGCATAGCTACTACAGGCCAATAAGTTTAACGTCAGTACCATCCAAAATAATGCAACGTTTAATAGGGGACGAAATCCTAACCCACATGGACATAAATAACTTATTCACACCAGACCATCTCCAACATGGGTTCAGACCGGGGAAATCCTGTTCTACCCAACTATTAGAATCCCTGGAAAACTGGCATAAAGGACTGGAAGCTGGTGATAACATATATGTCATATATCTGTGGCCCCGGAATCTCGAAACTTCTTAATTCTCAATTCTTAACTTTCCATTCTTAAGCTAAGTATGTACTTAGCTAAGAATTTCTCAAATTGGTGTATCTCGAAGGCGTTCTTAAATATTTGGATTTCAGTAAATTAAAGCTTTTGACAAGGTCTTGCACCGTTTCCTGATACACAAGCTAGAACAGTATGGAATTGAAGGAAAAGTTTTGGATATAGCCTTCCTGGAAAATACGGTACAAAGAGTAACGATCAATGGTACAACATCAAATCCGAAACCAGTCACAAGTGGGAGTCCCTCAAGGGAGTGTTTTAGGACCAATACCGTTTCTGATCTATGTTAACGACATGCCTGATATGTTAAGCTGTACGATCGAACTATTTGCGGATGACACAAAACTCTCTGCAAAAAATGAAACATTAGCAGACCGCCAAAATCTACAGGACAACATAAATCATATGTGTGATTGGACCAAAACCTGGCTCATGCAACTTAACACCACAAAGTGCAAACACCTGGAGCTCGGACAGAGACAAGGTGACCATATATACACCATAACTCAAGATGGAAAAGAATCTCCAATCATAAGAGTGCAGGAACACGAGAAAGACCTAAGTGTCCATATATAGACAACCAGTATTCCGGACCTTTACATACATGAGGCTTGTAATGTTCCTAAATCTATACAAAACGCTGATTAGACCTCATCTGGAATACTCGACAACAGTTACATCACCATTTTTGATCCGCGACAAAATTACAATCGAGAACATCCAAAGAAGAGCTACCAAAAGGATTCCAACTCTGAACGCACCATACGAAGAACGCCTAAGACAACTCCGACTCCCAACTCTCGAATATAGGAGATATCGTGTTGACGTAATTCAAACCTACACAATACTAAACAACATGGACATTCTTGACAAGGGCAAACTATTTCATGAAGCTGAAGACAACCGAACCAGGGTACTCCAGGACACTATTCAAAAGACCATGCAGACTGAACAAATATGGTAATTTCTACAGCAACAGAGTGATAAATCTGTGGAACTCTCTAACAGAGGAGGTAGTAATCTCTCCAACGCTCAACACCTTCAAGTTACAGCTCAACAGCCACTGGAAAAATCACCCGACAAAATTCAAGCCATCTTTTTATTAGTTACATATATGTTTGCAAGTCTAACCAGTCAAAAGTGAACAATGTAACAAATTGACTGTTTGGCACTGACCATGCTTTTGAAAATCACATGTTTTAACCATCATATTTTAAAAGGAGAGGAATCAACAGTGGGAGCTGAATACTCCAACCCTACCAGATAAAGAAATGAACCTGTAAATGTAAATAACTATATATATAGCAACGAGAAGTCTCATAAGTACGCGTGTGTACAGCATACATTAGAAGAAAGGATCATTATACATCACCACAAGCTACTAGTTAGCTTACAACGATGTCATCTGAGCAAAACTAAGCAGCGAAACGATTGCTGATTTTACCCAATAAGCTTACTTCCCAAAACAAACATCGATTTACCCAATACTACCAGATACTGATTATACAATCGCCGATTTACCCAATATAACCCAATACTACAAGACACAATCGCCGATTTACCCAATGCTACCCAATACTACTCTAACGATGTTAGAGGTTTTACATGGCGAAAAACTTTTGACAGGCGCCGCGTAACCTCTAACTGCCCATAGCTGATTTTCCCGATGCTGACGATCACATTTTCAAAGTTCGGATAAAGAAAGAGTATATCATGTTTACATACATTTAAATGGTCATAATGCATCAAAGAATTAGTGCTTCGGAAATGAAAGGTCGCAGTTGGCAAAATCATATACGATGGAAAAAAGGCCGACCAGCGGCCTATCATGTTATGGGAGTATACTCAATACATGCATTGATTTACCCAATACTACCAGATACAATCACCGATTTACCCAATACTACCAGATACAATTGCCTATTTACCCAATACCACCAGATACAATCGCCGATTTACCCAATACTACCAGATACAATCGCCTATTTACCCATGACAAACATCGATTTACCCAATACTACCTGATAAAATCGCTGATTTACCCAATACAACCCAATACTACCCGATACAATCGCAGATTTACCCAATACTATCCAATACGTACATTGATTTACCCAATACCACCAGATACAATCACCGATTTACTCAATTCAAACATCGATTTACCCACTACACCCAATATTACCCAGTACAATCGCCAATTTACCCAATACTACCCAATGTATTGTACATCAATTTACCCTATGCCACCAGATACAATCGCTGAATTACCCAATACAACCCAATACTACCAGATACAATTGCCTATTTATCCGGTTATCATTCTACAACTGACTGTCTTCCGAATCAATTTAATGCATCGTGCACCCTGATTCGTCGTATTTTACTACTATTTCCACTTTTCTTAGATAATTGCTTACTTTGATGTGTTCCATTTTAATTTTATTCAACTGATCTGATACGAAATGCCAGTAAAAAATCATGAAAGTGTTATATATATATAGTATAGTAGTGTCACCTTGCGCACACGTTGGAACAAATGATAACCGGTTCGACGGGTAATGTGCTTTTTATACCCAGCGAGACCCATACTTGTTACCTGCAAGCAAGGACCAAACTAAAATGTCAGCACTTCAACGATAGTTGGAAGAGACCGGGAAGATCTCAAAACCAGAAAAAATATTTTGAAATGGCTTTTTTTAATCTCAATCGAAAGCTTTTTAAGTTGCACTGTCAGCTTTAAGTATCTGCTAAAATTATCCATTTTCTTGTGTCAGACCATTTTTTTGTAATAATGTATAGTGATTATAAAAAAAAAATTGATAAAGATTAAGAAAAGGGCAAGAAAATGAGCAATAATAATGCAATGTCAAGATTATTAAACAATGCTATTTATTTAAAATTAAACTACATCGATTATAACTCTTGTTTTGAGTTTTCTTTTTCAAAGTGGCGTTGCGCATGATAGATTGGTTGCGACATGGAAATGGTTGGCATGGAAATGGTTGGCAGCGCCACGCTGCGATGGGAGTGTTAAAAAATAAATACCATAGCGCACCAAAAACTATCATGCAAATGCTTTATTCAAATGAACAGTGAGAAACAAAAATTCAAGAAATCATCCAATCCAACCTCTCATTCTCTCCCCCTGGCTCAGTGGCCTGTGGCATGGCCACCCTTCCTGCTGGAGAGTCGTATGTCTACATTATGTATTTCCCACTATTTCAAAAAAAAGGTACCAACTTTCTATTCCTGCATTAATCCCTGAATTATAAACTTTTTGGATGTTTTTGATAAATTAATTAATTCACCAATGCAATTTCATAATGAACTGTTCCTGAACCGTTGAATTGGAAGAGTTCAAATGTGTCTTCAGGGGTGGATGAGTTAATTAACTGAACATAACATTTTTTTCCCAGAAACGAGAAAAAGTGTGGTACAACAGCTGCTAAAGTTGAACTTGGAATACGGGCATTAACTGTAAGTACTTCATTGCCCAAATTATTTTAATGTTTGTTATTTGATTACAAAAAAGTGTTGCCATTCATATCTTACACCAGAAATTATGTAAATGAGGTCCCAATATGTCAATTTTAGTTCACCAAGGTCTTTTTACCAAAGAAGCTTTTTATTCACACGTACACAAATGTTGGTCTTTTACAGAAATCAGTTACAATATGTATTTGTGTATAGCTAACATTGAAAACATGCATCAATGCACGGCAAATTATTTTTTCTGTTAAAAAATGTGATTGAATCTTTCCAAAATCTAAAACCCTGGCTAAATTCAAGAAGGATTATAAAGACCCCCCTCTTCACGTCTGCATTTTATAATTTGGCTCTTTGCACAGACGTCATGTACACATCACTCTTTAAATTTATATTATTCATTTATCCGTACATATTTATGCATATTGAAATAATTGTCTTCATGATAGTGATTTAGATGCCTTTTTCTATCTTCAATAACTAATACTATTAATAATGTGTTGTGAAGCGCTTTAGAGTATTTTTACTGATTATTAAGGACGCTATAAAAATGTTGTATATTATTCTATTTTACCTTTAACAAATGTATTTTTTTTCCAATACAGCAAGAAACCGATCACTTAACGAAAAATGTCACCGAACGACCTAGGAAAACAAAATCAGGGAACCCTGGACCAAGTAAAACGGTTGGTACAAAGAAGTTCTGTATGTTTTAATTCATTCTGACATTTCAATCTTGTATAAACTGTGGGTGTGGCACCTCTGGGGGCAGGGCCAAATAGGGGAAATAGAGGTAAAACCTTTAAAATTCTGCTTCTACAATAGGGATTAAGGGATTTTATTCTAATTTAGTCTGGAGCATCCTTTAGCCAAGGGGACTCAATTTTGTATAAATGATGGGTGTGGCCCCCCTGGGGGCAGAGGGAAATAGAGGTACCCCTTTAAAATCCTTCTTCTACCTAAGGGATTTTATCCTGATTTAGTCTGGAGCATCCTTGGGTCAAGGTGACTCAATTTTGTATAAATGGTGGGTGAGACTTCCCTGGGGGCAGAGGGACAGGGCCCAATAGGGGAAATAGAGGTAAAACCTTTAAAATCCTTCTTCTACAATAGGGATTAAGGGATTTCATCCCAATTTGGTCTGAAGCACCCTTGGTCCAAGGGCACCCATTTTGTATAAACGGTAGGTGTGGCCCCCCTGGGGTCAGAGGGGTGGGCCAAATAAGGGAAGTAGAGGTAATTACCTTTAGAACCCTTCTTCTACCATAGGGATAAAGAGATTTCATCCCAATTTGGTTTGGAGCATCCTCGGGCCAAGGGGACACAATTTTGTATAAACGGTGGGTGTGGCCCGCCTGGGGGCAGAGAAGTGGGGCCCAATAAGGAAAAAAGAGGTGGGGCCCAATAAGGGAAAAAGAGGTAAAAATCTTTAAAATCCTTCTTCTACCATAGGGATTAAGAGATTTCATCCTAATTTGATCTGGAGCATCTTAAGATCAAGGGAACTAAATTTTGTTGAAACGGTAGGTGTGGTCCACCTGTGGGTAGAGCTACAGGGTCCAATAGGGGAAAAAGAGGTAAAAACCTTTGAAATTCTTCTTCTACCATAGGAATTACAGGATTTTATCCCAATTTAACCTGGAGCATCCTTGGGCAAAGGGAACTAAATTTTGTATAAACGGTGGGTTTGGACCCCCTGACGGATGAGAGTTGCGGTTCCCAATAGGGAAATTAGAGGTTTAAATCTTTAAAACCTTTCTTCTTCTGTACCATTGGAGGGATTTGATGTAATAAGAATAATTTCCCATGGTTGCTTCATTATCCAGGTGAGCGATACAGGCCCTTTGGGCCTCTTGTTTAGCTCACCTGGTCCGAAGGACCATGGTGAGTCTATGCCATACTGCATCATCTGTCCTCCATCGTTTGCCGTCTGTCAACTTTTCCTTTAAAACGCCACTTAAGTCCTGAACTGCCAAGTAGATTTTGACTAAATTTAGGCTGGAGCATCCTTGGGCGAAAGGGACTCAATTTTGTATAAACAGTGAGTGTGGCCCTCCTTGGAGCCCAATAGGGGAAACATTCTGTAGGAATGACAGGATTTTGATTAAAGTTGGGATGAAGCACCTTTTGGTGAAGCCGGGAACCAATTTTGTATAAACAGCGGGTCTGAAACATTGTATTGTGATCCATTTAGACCTCACATGCTGCTCTTTCAACAGCGAACAGGGCTACACGATAAGGGTAGCAGGGATCAATGTAGACTTGATTCACTACCTTTTATGGGTAGTTTCCCCTACAGAAGAAAATTCCCCTGTTCTTTGAAATCCCTGATTTCAACAAGAAAATTGCTGTTTTAACTTCAAAGTATTTCCCCTATACATATGTTTTCTTTAAACTTCAACAGTTAAAATGTATAATACTGCATATATATACATTTTCTCTACATAATTTAAACAATAGTTCTACAGTCTCAACATTAAAATTGTTTAAAAATTGAAATATACTACACACATGTATGTAGGACAAAACATTTATCTTTTACCTTCATGGCGCTAGAGCCTTGTATCAAAATTTAAATTTCCCCCAAATCTAAAAAATGGTAGTTTCCCCTTAAACCTGTATTGATCCCTGGGGTAGCCAGCTGATAGTCTGGGACTAATGAAATCTCCAGTTGGACTAAGTGGTTCTAAAAATCACTAGCTGGATTGATTAGTCAAATTTTGATATTGCTTATCTTATTGAATAATATTAGGTTAGTGGAATTTGCACATGGACTAGTAAAAATTGGCTCAATTTACCAGTGGGATTCAAAAATAAATTGTGGCCCTGTATATCCACACAGTTATCCTCTCATTTATTGTATGTATAGAAAAATTTGACCATTGGGTGTGTGGCTGTAATAAAATAGATTCTACCAACTTTATACTTCATCACATTACTGATTTTTAGCTCACCAGTGCCCGAAGGGCTTTTCTTTTAAAACACTGCTAGTCCTGCAATGCTGTCCCACTACATGAACAAGTTGTTCTTCCATTGTCTGATGCAACTGAACAGGTACTCTAGATTTCATTCCTTTAAAAAAAAAAATGTTTGCAACTTACTATATTAGCAAGGAAGCTTGACCTCTTGGCAGGGTGGGGTAAAGGCCATCTTAGTCAAATAATTGTATAATCACTAGAACTATAAAGAATGCCTAATTGCCTGGATGAGTACTAGTGTATCTTAGCCTAAGGACTTCAGTTTCCTTTATTCTGTAATAGTTCTGTCATATTGCTTTGGTTGATGGTGTGAAGTATACCAAATTACAGTTCTACATTAAATCATTTTGAAACTTAGTAGGCATTCACAAAGATATATATCAAATTGAATTCATTTATCGGTTATATTGTGAGAAGTTTGACAATTCTTACTCAAGATAAAAAAGAAGTTAGGACCAGCTTTTTATGTACCAACTCAATTTTTATTTTTTTTGCAGGAAATTATTCCTAAAGAAATCCAAGACAATATACAAATGACGAAATTCAACAAAGGTGTTATTACGTACGCACTGCTTAAACTGAAAGAAAAGCTAGGAAATATTGGCAACAAACATGTCAATGTGGTTGAAATAACCGGCGGGAATGTCTCTATTTCTATGATATCCTACAGTGATGCACTGCTTGAGGAACGAAACCATGATAGTTCCAAAAAGTATTTCCTGTGTTGGATACTAACAGGAGAATCACAAACATTGAAAGCCCATTGCAAACTGTTGACCAACATTGGTTGCAACGAACCAAACCACGTTTTCCTGTTGGATTCGCACCGCAGCAAGAATTATGAACTGACTGAAGATGTCCTGAATGCTTTGGGGCATCTACTTCAGCTAGAGTTAAATAGCATAGTCAAAGTGGAAGTATTGAATGTGCTACAGCAAACCTACGGTCAACCATTGTGTTTCCCTTACACATACGGATGGGCAATAGAAATCCTTCTAGGACGGGTGTCAACCTTGGAGAAAATCAGATTTGTTGAGTCGAAGATCATCGAAGACCTACTTGGAAATCTACGCAGCAAATGCTGCCACAAACAATTCACAATTAAAATGGATTCAGATCCTGATTTCTCGCCAAAAGTCATCAGGTTCCTGGTTTTTACATGGTAAATCATTTTGTTTAAATTCTTGTGAAAAAATTCTACAATCAATTACAGACCTCCAGATTTTTGACACATTTTTCAGATGCGTGTTTGATATTAAAATTGATCATACTTTGTCAAATATTACAAAATCCCCTTGCACGAGATCAAAACGAGACTTGAACGTGATTGAAACCTCTTAAGGGATCAATCTGAAATTTCACTTGAAAGGTTTTACCAAATTTGAACATCCCAATGGTGGAATTTCCCTATCCTACACCCCTGTGCATAAACAAGTCTTATAAATTTAGTCTCAACCTAAAGTTAATATGGGGATTCCCTTATGAATTCATAATAATGGTATGATGTCACGTCAACAATGCATCAATTCAACGTCACATCAATCCTGCATTTAGCCTGTAACTAACATTACATTATGTAACTTTAACATGACTAAATTGAAGGCTCTGTATGTACATGCCGCCATGTGGATGATACATATTAAACTAGTTTGATATTTAATATAAGTACACATAAAGGGATTTGTGTAGCAGCGTGATGTTACTACATATAGTGGATTAAAATCATTTATCTGAAAAATACCCTGAAAGTCGTGAGCTCGTCAAAAATTGGGCGACATAAAATCTCAGTTTGGCAACACAAAATTTTCATAGCAAAACCAATTGGCGACAGAAGTTTTCCTTAATGTGAGCCCTGAGTAGATGCTCTGTCCTCTTCAAAGGAACATACAGTATAAGCCTTGTAATTGGTCAGTTTTCTTTACCTGAAACCAATCCAATAAGAGTGACATGTATTTAAAAAAGAAATTGCTAAATAGCAAAGTAGTTGTCAGTCTTTACATTTTAATGTATATCTTGTATTTATTTACTTTTATTTAAGGAACGGACTGCAGCTGGCTGATGAGAAGTTGCAGTCACTCCACACTGTAAGTACTTATGAATGCCTCGCATGCTACAGGTTGTATTTGTTAAAACCTGAATTATTCAGCTGAGGAAAGTATGTATTTTTTTTATCTACAACACTTTAAGGATCCCTGTCCCGCTGCACTATGGTTTCCCGTATGTACAGTATCACCTTCCCTAATTAACTCATTCACCCCTGAAATTTCATAATGAACTATTCCAACTTTTGAATTAGAAGAGTTCAAATGTGTCTTCAGGGGTAAATGAGTTATATCACTTCCGTATGGATATACAAAGTAAGTATAATAGAACACCATCTGTAATCCAATCTAAATATTGACTGGTTGGACATTGAGTGCTATGATTATGTTTTGTTTCTATCAGTCTCTCCGCCTGTCTGTTTGTCCAAAAGTTCTAGATACTGGTAAAGACCGTAGATTTTTATTTATTGATTATATAATTTGTATCAAGAGGAATATAAAGCTTTGACATGTATGCAGCTAAAATGATAGTATATACAATTTATGTTATTTACGGCCAAATGAAAATGTATACGTACCTGTCAGTTTCCTGTTTACCGACCGGCCCTATTTTTCATGACAACCCTAATACATTTTATTGGTTTTTCACAGTCACGGTTATGCATTTATTAGCTGTTTAATTGTTAGAAGTGTGCATATAATTTGCTATAAATTTTATTAGTCTTGGCTCATGGTCAGTGTCAGAGTTTTATATGGAGATGGTAACTAATCTAAGTAGCCATAGATAATTGTGGTTATGATATAGGTTGGGATTTGTAAATTAGTGTGACCATTTGTAGTCTAGGAGTTCAATTGTTATTCAATTAATTTGAACTGGTGGCAGTTGTAATTGAGAACAGAAATCATCAGCAATTACAAAAGAGAATGTAACACTGGTGACCATCAGGGGAGTTTGGATTACTAAAAAATTAGTGTCAATTAAGCAGTAGGAAAAATACATATTTTTAGGTCATCTGATATTTCTCAGGTGAACTATATAATTGCGATTGCCTTAAGCTTGTGTCCGTCGTCGTGCGTCCGTTTATAAACAACCAGAACAATATGATACAGTTTAATAAATGCTATTTATTAACTGTATAGGTATGCAATGTTATCATGACCAACATTGTTGTATATGTCTTATAAATCAGCATACACATGTTTATACACATAACAGAAGAAATAAACAATACACAAATATAATATACATCTCATGATTATCTACATTTAAGGTTTGGCCTTGGGTGCTATATCATGCTACACATATATATTTAGCTATGGAAATCTCACGGATTACTGACATTATACTACCAGGAGCGAACTTTCACCCCTTGTCCCAGGATTTCTGCAAATATATCCCCCCAGGAGCGAAACGGTCGCCCCTGGTCCCAACGGCTGGATGAAATTTCCAATTATCAAAATAACAGGACCCCAATGAGAGCATATTTCTGACAATCCTGGATCTGGACATGATGAGTTAGCTCATATACCTGGATCCCATGAGAGGATATCTGATCAGTAAATTCCTGGGTCCGCATGATATCTATAGATCTAATTTTCTGGATATAGATCCCATGAGAGGATATTTCCTGAATCCTGGATCGGACCCGTAAACAATTTACATTTTCAACTTCTTCTCCGAAACCCCTGAACTAATTTCAAAGAAATTTTGCAGAAACTTTCCATGGCCAAAGGTCGACTAAAATTGTGAATTATATTGTCCCCAGCCCCCAGGGGCCTGTGGGGCGGGGCCAAAAAGGGTCAAATATGTAGAATCAAATACTCTTCATAGGTGGAAGGGTCTTAATATAAGGTGCTATAGCAAAATTGTGAATTTCATGACCCTGGGGTCTCACGTTTCTCCCTGGGGAGGGGGTAAACTTTACTATAATTTATACAGGGTAATCATATTTTGGATCAGCATTTGTTTAATTTCCATTGGAGTTAATTCAAACTTGGTTAGCATTATCAGTGTTGGATAGCAGTTTGATGGTTTGAACATATATTGGCCCTGACTGACCCCGAGGGGCCGAGGGGCGGGGCCAAAAGGGGTCAAATTGACTGAAATTTCAAAAATCTTCTTATCAAGACCCAGATATGGTAGAATCAAATACTCTTCATAGGTGAAAGGGTCTTGAGGTACTTTATCAAAAATGTGAAATTCATGACCCTAGAGCTTCACGTTTCCCCCTAGGGAGAGGGTGGAATTTACTATAGTTTATGTAGGAACATCCAACTTTTAGGTACATTTTGCTCATTCAAAATCATTCAAACTTGATTTACATTATAACTATGAGATTACAGTTTGATACTTTGACATTTTTAACCCTGTCTCATCCCTGAGGGGCGGAGCCCAAATGGGGTCATATAGCCAGAAATTTCAACAGTCATCTTCTCCTGAGGCTGAGACTGAGATAGGCTGGAAACCAATACTTGTCATAGATGGAAGGGTCTTGAGGTGCTTAATATCAAAATTGTGAATTTCATGACCCCCAGACCCATGTTTGCCCCTGGGGAGGAGGCCAAGTTTACTATACTTTATATAGGAAAATTATACTTTTGGGTATGTTTGGTTCAATTTCAAATGGAAATTATTCAAACTTGACAGCCATTATAACTATGAAACAACGGTTTGATACATTGACAGTTTCGGCCCGGACCCGGCCCCAATGCCTGAGGGGCGGGGCTAAAAGGGGTCAAATTGGCTTAAATTAAACAATCTTATCCAGACCAAGATATGCTGGACACAAATAATCTACATAGATAGAAGGGTCTTAAAGCACTTTATCCCCTGGGGATGGGGTAAACTTTACTACACTTATATAGAAAAATGATACTTTTGGGTATATTTGGTTCATTTCCAACTGGAAATCATTGAAACTTGATAGACATTATAACTTTGACAGTTTAATACTATGACAGTTTTGGCTTTGGCCATCTTGGAATTCTTCTCCACCTCACAATTTTGTATCAGCAGGCTTCATTGACTTAAGTATCTATCCCTGAAAAAGCAAAAAGCAATGTCTGACACATGTACAGAAGCAAAATTATTATTTCAAGAAGAATAAACTGGAAAAGATTAAAAAATAATGGCGTACACATCCATAGTGTTATATTATAGATAACTTTGCCAAAGGCCTGATTGTTCCAACACTTTGTATGTTTGTCGTTAATCAAGTTAATTTTAACATTATTAACAAAATATGCGACCTTTTTATCACAAAAATTTGTTAAATTTAGATGATGTAGTCAATTCACAATTTTGTTGTATTTTACCATTTAGTTGTATGTTATTTATGTTCGGTATAAAAAGAGGCAAAATTTCCAAATGGTAAATTACAATACACAAAAACTCTTCATTGCTGAATCAATATATTAGATGTTTGATAGGACAGCTGTTTTCTTTTTAGCCAGTAACCTTACTCAAATAAATCCCCCAAAACAATCCAACAGCTCGTTCTACTGTAATAGGAAAGAAAGAAGTGGAAAGATGAGGTGCCCCAGCTGGGAACGAACCAAAGAATCCAGGTTCCGGAGGCCAACGCTCTACCACTTAGCTAAAGGGACAATGTCCTGTCAGCTGACTGACAGAACCACTATTTGTACATAGTACATATACTACCGAGATCTTTCACACTACTTTTGTATTACATGTAGTTCAAGTTACCTTTGTTACAAAATTATTTCTTTTTCATTTGGCATTACATAGATAACATCAGTTTTTACATAACTCAGGTGACCGTTAAGGCCCATGGGCCTCCTGTTAACATTCACGGAGGTAATCAGAAGATTTTCTTCACCATAAAACAAAATAAAATAAAAAAATAAAAAAAAATGTTTTTCCTACCTACTTACCCTATTTTTTTTGGAGCCGAAACAGGAAACACACATATATTTGTATTTGGACTAAATTTGTTCAAATCGAATAGGTACAAAAAAGTGGACAAAATTAGAGAAATTTAATAACAACAAGGACAACAAAAGATGTATTATTATTTTAGCGATAATCAACCTAATAAGTCATATTTATATTCCTTACAGTCCTCCAGTGTTACCCCGGTGACTGACCCGCCTTCTGAACCTGAAGTGCCATTTGATGAGGTAAGGAATTGCAGACATCACATAATACATATATGTAATATTATCTGGTGTGAGAAACTCACAGGATACTTAGTGTAACTGTTGGTGATTTAACGGAATTTACAACTCCTATATCTCTTTTCTTCAAAAATAACATATTGATGTTACTCAACCTCATTAACCCTTCTTAACTCATCAGCCTGTGTTATTTTCTCCATTTAGTATCAGTAGAGTATTTTGTGTATGTCATTAAGTGTAATGGGCGATAGAACATCTATTCCGTCTTTGCGTATTGCAGAGTTATCTTCTCTTGGGAGCAGGGATTGATTGTTACGTCACTTGTTTGTGAGAGTAACGTCATAAATTTTTGAGAAAACAATGTAATTTTCTCACACAAACCAATGACGTAACAGTCGATACCTGCTCCCAAGAGAAGATAACTCTGCAATGCGCAAAGACGGAATAGGTATTGTCTTTAACATCAAATAAATTAAGTTATTAGGTGATTTATTGGGTGAAAGAACATCTATAGTATATCTGAAAAGCATTGTCTTTAATACCAGATTAATTAACAGTAAAGTTAATTGGTGATTTAATTGGTGAATGATAGTCTCTTACAACAAATCAATTAATTTACTTTCTTTGTAGAAAACAGGTTCTGTCATCTCAATATCTTTCTTACGATTATTACATAATATTAACATTTGAAACACTGAATTTAGAACAAACAGCAGATTTGGAGCCAAATGATACAGCTATATAACTAAGTGTATTACTCATACTTCCAGCAACAACCTAAGTGGTTGGTGCCCTCTGCACCACCTCCTGATCATGAGGAATATTACAAAGTAAGTATAATAAAACAGCATCTGTAAAATGGTACACAGGTGTATTATTGAATGATATACCCAATCTATATGACGTTACTCTCACAAACAAGTGACGTAACAATCAATACCTGCTCCCAAGAGAAGATAACTCTGCAATGCGCAAAGACGGAATAGGTATTGTCTTTAACATCAAATAAATTAAGTTAATAGGTGATTTATTGGTTGAAAGAACATCTGTAGTATTATACCTGTATATCTGAAAAGCATTGCCTTTAGCACCAGATTAATTAACGGTAAAGTTAATTGGTGATTTAATTGGTGAAGGGTAGTCTCTTACAACAAATCAATTAATTTACTTTCTTCGTCTAATTTGAAAGACTGGATATTCAAAGAAAACAGGTTCTGTCATCTCAATATCTTTCTTACAATTATTACATAATATTAACATTTGAAACACTGAATTGAAAACAAAAAGTAGATTTGGAGTTAAATGATACAGCTGTATAACTAAGTGTATTACTCATACTTTCAGCAACAACGTAAGTGGTTGGAGCCCTCTGCACCACCTCCTGATCATGAGGAATATAACAAAGTAAGTATAATAGGACAGCATCTGTAAAATGGAACATAGGTGTATTATTGAACGATATACCCAATCTATATATTGACTGGTTGGACATTCAGTGTTATGATTATGTTTTGTTTCTGTCAGTCTCTCCGCCTGTCTGTTTGTCATACATCACTTCTCACAAGATACTTAGTGCCAACAAAACGATGGCAGTAAACAGATTTATATCATATGTCACTACTTGCTTCCAATATATCAATACCCTTCCGATGGTCTGACGGGCGTATCATGCTTTCGATCGCGGTGCTCTTGTGACATCAGTTATGCCCCTTTCTAATTCCATTTAGAGATTTTGTCGGTATTAAATCCTGACCTATCTTGATATGAAAGTTGAGTTAACAGCATTTAGATCACCTGAGCATTTAGATCACCTGAGCATTTAGATCACCTGAGCGATGCTCAATTGACCTATCCAGGTCGCTTTCTGTCCGTCCTGCGTAATCTTTTTACATTTTTGGTTTCCTCTCAAGAACCAATGAATGGGTTTCCACCAAACTTGGTAGGGATCATCCTCGGTAGAAGAGGATATCAAATTGTAAAAATGAAGTTTCTGCTCCACCCTAGAGGGCTTGGGCTAGGCCAAAAATTGGAAATTTCCCAATATTTGAAAAATCTTCTTCTTCAGATCTTCCGATACTTTTCATTGATGAAAATGTCTTAAGGTGTTTTAATTTTTTTGTATTATATGTGTAAGATTTGGCGGTAAATAATCTAGCTGTATTGCTTTGCTTCACCATGATGATCTGTCTCTGTCTTTACAGGACTCCTCAAAACTTCAAACTGGTGGATCTAAAGATAGGCTGTTTGATGAGGTTGAAGTTGACGATGATCAATTGTTTGGAGAAACAAAGGCAGCAAAAAACCCACAGGTAATGTTGATAGATATTACACGAACACAACCTGTTACACGTGTATGTCTTCTATGTTTTTGTGACATAAAGAAAAGAGATAGAATGAATTAGCTTTCAGTTGAAATTATCATTTGCTTTATAGGGTGTAAACTAATGTTGTCATTTTTAGCTCACCTGGCCGGAAGGGCCAAGTGAGCTTATGCGGTGGTGCGTCGTCCATCATCCTGTCGTCAATATTTTACTTAAAACAACTTCTTCTTAATAACTAATAGGCCTAGGGTGATGATATTTGCAAAGTAGCATGCTGAGGTGAAGGGCTACCAAGTTTGTTCAAATGAATTACCTTAACTGCAGGATAATGGTATCAGGCCTGTAACATGATGGGATGAAGGGCTACCAAGTTTGTTCGAATGAATGACATTGACATGTATTTAAGGTCACAGGGATCAAATATGTTCAAAATCTTTAAACGACTTCTTCTGAATAACCAAAAGGCATAGGATGATGATAGTTGGCCAGTATCATGCTTAGATAAAGGGCTACTTAGTTTGTTCAAATGAATGACCTTCACTCATATTCAAGGTTACAGGAGTCAATTGTCTTTAAAAACTTGAAACAACTTCTCATGAATAACTAAAATCGGCCGTTTTAAATGTAAACGAAATGCATTATCTGACAATAATAACAACAACGATGTCCAATATCAACTGCTAGACCACGACTATGCGACGAAACAAAGTGACCCTCGTTCACACATTGAAGAGACGCTGGCTACTGAGGACCCTACTAAGCTTACTGACAATTTTACTGTCAGATGAGCTGACACTGACGTCCGATGAGGATCCCTCCAGTACTAGTGATCACGAATACGCCAATAACTTTTTAACCTGGTCGCAGGGTAAACGAGTGGTTGAACTCGCGATGTTATCTGAATACCTGGACCAGAAAGGTTGTAAGGAATGCGGTACTAGGCTACGGTTGTGCAATATACCCAACAGGAAAGACATTTTGGCCTGGGAAATATTTCATACATCACATTAGTCAGGATTATATTCTATATTTGTTATTACATGTAAGGCCTATATTTCAAGTTCATTTTTTATATTACATACAACAGTGTTATTTTTACAATGTGATATTTTATACCACAATATTGTATGTTGTTATTTGTACATAATGTAAACGTTTACTATTGTTGTATAGTGTGATATTTGTTAAACCACAATATATGTTGTTATCTGTATATAATGACTGAGTTTATTATTGCTATATAGTGTGATATTTTGTAGATCATAATATGGTATGCTGTTATCTGTACATAATGTGAAAGTTTATTATTGTTTTGTTCAGAATGTAAAAGTTTACTATTGTTGTATATATAGTGTGATTTTTTTTATATCACAACATAGTATGTTATTTTCCTATTATGTAGAAATTTATTATTGTTGTGTAAAGTATGTGAAACTTTGTTAATGTTGTTCATTGTGACATTTTTGCTATGACACAGTAAAGTACATTGTTTGTTATAATGTTATTCATACACTATGTGCAATTTTGTTTTATATTGGTTATTACATTTGAAGTAATTTTATTGGTTGGTAATGCCTACTGTATTATATTCATATATAAAAAGTGCTATATTGTATGTTGTAAATTGTATATATGACTTTTTATGCCGCTCTTGGCGAGAGCCGAGCGGCTAATTAATTCTGTCCAGAGAACGAAATGACGGATCCACTTCCGGTTGGAGGTGCGTAATTTAGTCTTGCAAATATGCTTCCGCTATATAGTTTCGTTATCGTAAATAGAAAGTAGAATCTCTGACACTCGCCAGTGCCAGTGTGGGTTACATAAAGTCTTAATCCATACTTTAACTAATTGCTGAAAACAAAATGTTTATCTACGGTGCATTCTACGAGTGTTGTGGTGGTGAAATTTGTGCACTAGGTTTGAGCGTTTTAGCAAATCGGATAGAGGTCTGAGGAGTGTTACGCGTGTGAAACACATATGATTCGAGAAAGCACATGTGAAGACTGTCAAGCATTGACGCTGTCTGTAGAAGGAAGAAGAAAATATATATATTTATAAACCGTATTAGTGATGAAGAATAACCTCTATTTTGATGTTTCAAACGGGAATGTAATATGACATATCGTGCTTAGGTTGATAACGGTAAGGGCTCTGGGACGAGACGATATGTGAACTGTGTATGCTTATCAAACATTTCTGTAACACAGCATGCTATTTCTGGTGTATTTATTTATGAAAATTGTAACAATTTAAGAACATGACACAATTACTGCCACTGCTGTCTGACAAGAATTTGTGCCGTGTCAAAATATTATCCAATCTGGTGTAAGGGAAATAACTCTTACGTTGGTAAAGTCGCATTGAGAAATATAATTCAAATATATTCCAAGAACATTTGTGAGATTTTGTATATTCAATGAAAGTAAATAAAGTCACTACATATATAAATAATTATTATTAATATGAATAAATAATAAATAAAAATAAAAGGAGTACGATGTCTCTTTTCTCCATGCATTTGTTCTCCATACTGTTAATTCTTCATTTCACAATCACAAAATGCACCTATTCTTTATTATCCATTCACCGATTGCCATTCTGCACATAAATGCTCATGTCACATCATTGGAGGATGCTTATTAATGAAAATTACAACAATGCGTCACACTTAAGGGTGAAAAAGGAGAGAGAAATGTTTTTAAGGCATCATTTAAGATGTGATTGATTTTGGAAATCCCAAAGGCAACATCATCACATGACCTGATTTTCAATTAGCAGAATGCAGAACACATATCTGAGGTATAATAGAAGATATTGATGCTCAACATCTTACTGAAGCAATTAAATTTAAAGTGGTGAGCGGCTTTAATGTCACACTGACATAATTCTAGTTGGGATTTAGAATTATTATTGGTTCAAATGTAAGAGTTGTCTCTCTTTTTTATACGCCCGTCGAAGACGGGGACGTATTATGTTATCACGCGGGCGGGCGGGCGGGTGGGCAAACGATGTCCGCTCGATATCTCGAGTAATTATTAACGGATTAACTTCAAACTTCACAACAAGGTTAATTACCATGAAACCACGGACAAGTTCGATAACCGCCATTATCCGACCATAATTACTGGAGTTATTACCCTTGGTTTCATTAATGCGATGCATGCGTTCCATGATGTTGTATTGCACTCATTGATCTACCAGTTATGTTGAATGATTTCTCTTTTAATATCAATTACTCACAAATACTTCATATATTTCAATCATACAAACAACTGCTCATTCAATGTGTGACAGGCGTATTATATACCGCTCGCGGTAACCTTGTTGTTTAGTTTTTTTGTATATTTATATTTTTTGGTAAAATAGGTAAGTCTACAAGATATTTACTTTTTGTCACCTGTATTTTCTTTTCCTTGTCCTAAACGTGTTGCATTGGCACTCAGAATTTTATTGATTCATGTAACGGGCATTTTTGTTTGTTTTAGTATTATTGTTAGAAAATTACTCAGTTTTTTTGTTTTGTTGCATCAAATAAAATGTATTTTGTTTTATTTTGTTCCATTGATTTTTTTTTATTAAAAAATCAAAATTTCATTATAACCCAAAAAAATCTGAAGAAACTACCGTAAGGTATGGGTTATTGTTCAGAAATGATTTGGTTATGCAATAGCAATGCCGTAGAAAAAAACCCAATGCCTAATTGCATTTTTAGGCGGCGGGACGGGGATCCTTAATAGGACGTTAAACAAAATTAAACCAAACCAAACAAAACCAGCATCTTTTTAACGCTTTGATTTCACTTCTGGTCAAACAGGGAACCGGGCATGAGAAGGCTTTAGGAGGCGTATCATCCATGGGAGTTACAGACACTGTGATGACCGAGCAACAAGATCCACTCAGCAAATCGGAAAGGGATAGAGATGAGGTGCCAAATATATCTGAAATAGAGGAGCTGCAAACACCACCCTCGTCTGCTTCAGTGACAAATGCAGGTACAGGTAAATAGGATTTATCTACAAATTGCTGCCTTAAGAAGTTATGAATACAGAAGTCGTTTTCAATGTGGGATGTTTTTGTGTGTGTGTGCGTGTGTGTGTGTGTGTGTGTGTGGGGGGGGGGGGGTCTATCCAATGGTACATAATTTGTCATCATAAACCAGGCTTGTTGAAGGAAGAATTACATCCTCCACACTGACCTATATCATGAATCAACTTTTTACTTCCTTATTCTATATATTCAGCCTGAAAATCCAGTAGATACTGATAACATATATATCTGCTCTGCTCATGAAAATTATCATACGTCCTGAGTCCTGAAGCCAACGGTCAGTTTTATCTTTACGGAAAGTGATAAAAATAGCTATGACCGAAATAGTGCAATATCCAGGCCTTTTAGTGAGAAGTAAACAAGAACAGTTACCACAGTGTCAACTGACCCACCATGTCAGTTATGAGTCTGGCTTTGCACATAACATGTTTAGGTCACCTGAGACAAAGTCTCAAGTGACTTATTGCGAATGCCTTTTGTCCGGCGTCCGGCCGTAAACAATTTACATTTTCGTCTTCTTCTCCAAAACCCATGAACCAATTTCAATGAAATTTTACGGAAACCTTTCATGGCCAAATGTTGACCAAAAATAGTGGCCGATTTGGTCCCCAGCCCCCAGGGGCCTGAGGGGTGGGGCCAAAAAGGGTCAAATTGACTAAAATTTCAAAAAATCTTCTCAAGACCCAGGTAGAATTAAATACTCTTCATAGATGGAAGGGTCTTAAGGTGCTTTACGAAAATTGTGAATTTTATGACCCTGGGGTCTCATGTTTCCCCCTGGGGAGGGGGTAAACTTTACTATAGTTTATATAGGGAAATCACATTTTGGACTAACATTTGTTTAATTTCTATTGAAAGTAATTCAATTTGGGTTAGCATTATCAGTATTGGGTAGCAGTTTGATGGTATGCACATATGAGCCCTGACTGACCCCCCCGGGGCTGATGGGTGGGGCCAAAAAAGGGTTGAATTGACTGAAATTTCAAAAATCTTCTTCTCAAGACCCAGATATGGTAGAATCAAACACTCTTCATAGATGGAAGGTTCTTAAGGTGCTTTACCAAAATTGTGAATTTCATGACCCTGGGGTCTCACGTTTCCTCCTTGGGAGGAGGTAAACTTCACTATAATTTATATAGGGAAATCACATTTTGGACTAACATTTGTTTAATTTCCATTGGAAGTAATTATCTGATGGTATTTATTTGATGGTATGCACATATGAGCCCTGACTGACCCCCGGGGCTGATGGGTGGGGCCAAAAAAAGGTTGAATTGACTGAAATTTCAAAAATCTTCTTCTCAAGACCCAATTTGAAAAATTAACCAATTTGGGTTAGCATTATCTTTATCGGTATTGGGTAGCAGTTTGATGGTATGCACATATGAGCCCTGACTGATCCCCCAGGGCTGATGGGTGGGCCAAAAAAGGGTTGAATTGACTGAAATTTCAAAAATCTTCTTCTCAAGACCCAGATATGGTAGAATCAAACACTCTTCATAGATGGAAGGTTCTTAAGGTGCTTTACCAAAATTGTGAATTTCATGACCCTGGGGTCTCACGTTTCCTCCTTGGGAGGAGGTAAACTTCACTATAATTTATATAGGGAAATCACATTTTGGACTAACATTTGTTTAATTTCCATTGGAAGTAATTATCTGATGGTATTTATTTGATGGTATGCACATATGAGCCCTGACTGACCCCCGGGGCTGATGGGTGGGGCCAAAAAAGGGTTGAATTGACTGAAATTTCAAAAATCTTCTTCTCAAGACCCAATTTGAAAAATTTACCAATTTGGGTTAGCATTATCATTATCGGTATTGGGTAGCAGTTTGATGGTATGCACATATGAGCCCTGACTGATCCCCCAGGGCTGATGGGTGGGCCAAAAAGGGACGAATTGACTGAAATTTCAAAATTAATTATGGTTTATAATGGCAAATGATACTTTGAATGTTACATGTTAATAACTTGTTTGGAATTATAATCCTGAGTTGACACTTTGATACTTTGAACATTTTGAGCCAGCCCTACCCCCAAGGGCTGTAGGGTGGGGCCAAAAGTAGTGGGTGTGCTAAAATTTCTTCATTTTCCTTGTTTAGAATCAGAGGTGCTAGTTTCAAATACTTTTAAGTCTTAAATCTGTATGCTAGATATTGAATAAGGTGGTTTTATTGTTTTTTGTCACTTTGAATAATATTTCTGTTCGTGTTAAAAACAAAATCAACTCTATGTATGAATATATCAAGTGACCGTTTAAGGCCCATGGACCTCTTGTTCTTGATGCGTTGAATCTACACAATACATTGCAAGCAAGAATTATAAGTAGCATAATATATAAATCTAATGAGATGTTCACAGCTGGATTTGAATAAAAAGAAACAGGTTGAAATAGAGTATGCACACACTAAGAGGGTACCGCACAGTGAATTTGAACCTGCAGTAATCTGGAAGTACACTATCAATAGGTTTAAACGTAAAACATAACTCATAAATGCTCTTGATTCAGAATCAATGCCTGTACTTGAATTATTAGAAGTTGGGTTCATAAAGCAAGAATCGACAGCTGCCGCTGAAACGTATGGTTATACAGTTAAGGATATCTTCATTACTGATTAAAAATGCCAAGAAAGCATTGTCTTTTGTTAATTTTTAAACAAGAATTGTTCATTAGGAGTATCAAACTATATCATCCTAAAGAATTTGGTGACAAGATAATAAATAAATCTTACTTCATTAAGCTGTCCCTTTAATTGTCCAAATAATAAAAGAGCAATATACGTATTCATTGAAGATTCCCTATCACAGTTATTTACATAGAGGATTGGAGTATCCTTCACTTAAACAATTCATGTAATAACCATTTCTTAACACCTACAGTTTCACAATTCAGATTGTTTTGTTTTCTATGAAGTTCCAGATGTTTTCTAATCTTTTGTTGTTGATGTTTGCATCAAAGATACTACTTTTTATTTTACTGTTAATTCTCTATTTAAAGTTGGAGATGAGAAACTGATCCCAATCTCGTCAGCCAAACAAGCGTCCTCCAGGAAAACCAAGGTTGTCTTTCCAAAAAATCATGATGAGAATGATGGCAGGATTTGGCTTCCACTAGACCCAACTAAACGTGTCTTAGTGCCTAAATCAAGTGAAACAAGTGCCTCGTCATTGAAATCTACATTTGCTGTCAACAGGAAGGAGACGACCAGAGAAAATGAAAGTAAGTTAATTAGTATGATGTTTTAAAAAGGTTGATATAGAATACATCTCGACTGTAGTATGTAATAAAGCATTTGGTTTTTACCTCGCCTGGCACAAAGTGAGGTGAGCGATACAGGCCCTCTGGGCCTCCTGTTCATTTCTGTTTTGGCCACTTATTGACCCTAATGACCTCTTCTGTGGTGACGGGCTGTTAAAAATAAGAATTACTCTTGCTTGTTGTAGATAACATTGCTCCAACACAAGCCAGGCCTATGTAGGAGGACATGAACAACACAAGCCAGGCCTATATGTAGGAGAACATGAACAACACAAGCCAGGCCTTTATGTAGGAGAACAGGAACAACACAAGCCAGGCCTATGTAGGAGGACATGAACAACACAAGCCTGGCCTATGTAGGAGGACATGAACAACACAAGCCAGGCCTATATTACACATCACACGTGCAGCAAAACCCAGCTCACAAGATAACAACATGTTGACTTTATGGGAGACAAGGACTTTATGGGACCAGATGACTTGACAGGTCATATGCAACGTGTATATGCAGATGAATTCAATGTTTTATTAGCTCGCTTATTCTAAGAACAGAGAGTTATAGCGTCCCCTGGCGTGAGCGTCAGCATCAGCTTGAAAACTGTTAAAGTTTTAATTACCTGCAAGTTATTTAAAAGCTTGTCATTCATTAAACATGTGATATTTATAGTAAGTGACCTTGACCTTAGATATCAAAGGATAAAACGCTATCCAAAAGCTTAAGCAAAGTATTACTTGAAACAAATTTTAAATTATATAAGAAATAATTCTCAGGGACACCATCTAAATGAAAATTGATTGAGTTTTATAACAGTCGAGATGCATTTGATATCCTCCCCACATGGAAGGTAAAACAAACATTACAGTAAAATGTTCAAACCTGGCCTGCATGGTGTAAAGTTTCACCTTTTGGCCTTTTGTAACTTTCAGCTTTCTCGGTGAATTTTGTGCATTTCTAAATATCTCCCATTCTCATCAGATGTATATGAAGTGCATAACAAATGGAAAAATGAAAATAAGTACATATGATAAACTTCCAGAATAAATAAATGAATAAGATGTATAGGAAAGCAAACAAAGGGGCACAACTCTTCAACTTTGTGAAAATCCAGCCCAGAATTTCTGCTTTTGTTAGGATGCTTCTACACCAAAGTTAAATAACTTTGGCTACTTCAACTTCTGACAGGTCAATGACCCTTGATGAGACTTATTTAGCTGTCAAAAATCAGACCAAAAAATATTGCAGTACAATTTTATGTCAACTTATGTATTACTGGGTTTGAACACCACTGTAAATATGAATGTTGAACAGAAATATTTTAACATTTAAGCCAACTCATATTTTTTTTTAAATCCTTTTAAACACAGGTTAAGGAAATGAAGGGTTTAAATGTTGTTTGTTGATGTTTAGTAGATCGAAGAGATACATGTATAACCTTTTTTTTTAAACACAGTATTCTAAAAGATATGGTTAAGGATTCAGACTCTTTTAGGTTATCAGCATCTTGTGAGGAAACTCCATGTAATGTAGCAGACAAATGTCAACAAATTATATGAAGTGTAGTGCAGTGGATATAGAAAGCTCAATTCCTGCTATATCTTTGTAGTAAAGCTGTCAAAGAATCAGATATTTGGCAGACCTTTCACATTCATATGACTTAAAAGTGGTTGCGAGGATTTATAAAACCCAAAAAATAAACTGATTCCTATTCCATATACAGAAAACAGTGTGGAAATACAGATGAACTGAAGGTATTGAAAATAACGGAAAAAAAGTGTTTTTAATATTATTCATTATTGGGTAAATGTATTTTTCTTTCTCCTGGATCAGCTTCAAAATTAAACTGTCACAGTGTACTTTATTTTTACCAAAACTGAAATTCAAACAGTAATGAGTTTGGTAAAAGTAAATACACTTTTTAAAATAATCGCAATTATTTGTGAAGGTTATTTTTATTTTTGTGAATTTTTCCATTCCAATATATATAAACTGTAGTTCTAATCAAGTAATTACTATTCACAACCTAGTGTTTGTTATATTACAGAACAACAGTTATTAAAAATCAAATTTCAATACATTGTATATATGTATGTGACCAATTGCTGATAGAGTTTTTTATTATATATAATACATGACTATATTTTTTCATCCGAAGGAATTCCATCTTTCCTGATACAATTGTTTTTTTTGTGCATTTTTACACTTCAATTTTCCTTGTATATATATATATCATTGGTTTTGTATCATAGTGGATTATATTTTAAAGATATCAGATATGCCATAGAGAGTATTAATTAATTTTCTGTAAATATGGAGAAGTGAATCAATACCTGTTCCTGATTTGTTTTATCACATTTCTGACAGAAAATTATTTCCGGATTCTTTAGTGAACTGTTTGAAAGAGAGTAATCATTGATTAAAAAATATCAATAAAAATTAATTTTGATCCCAAAATAAATGTTATTATAAACATTTACTTTTTATTCCAGCTGAATTTTTTTTTTTTAATTCTTACATGTATAAACAACATTAAAATTTGGTTTTTGACTATTTTAACTTTCTCTTTAACTAAAAGCAGAGACAGTATGCATACATTATACATCCCTGGTGTTACCTTGTGACATCAGTGTCTCTATACATACGGTAATAATCTGTTAATGTTCGATAAACGTCTGTTTTTATTAACGTCCTGATTATGTAAAAAGTGTGCTTCCAGTATTAATTAAAGATAGTTTAAAGAATAAAGGAATTAACAAAAACAATTTCAATACATTGTAAATATCATTCGTTGAATGTTTGCGAAGCAGACGATGTTTGATCATGATCTCGAAACTAGAACATAGAACATTTTTTCCAAAAAATGTGTTTTAATTTATCATTTGAAAGAAAAAAATTGAAGGGGAAAAAATCAATTTGTTCTTTTATGAATTAATGAAAGTGATACAGAAAAGAAATAAAGTAAACAATTGATATCAAATTTATCAAAAGCATCATCCTTGGGGTTCCCGGTTGTTTCGCCCGAAATCCGCTAGCCCTAGGTTGTTTCGCATTGTTTGGTATTTTCTTTTCATTTTTATTTGTTTTAATTCACAAGTTTAGTCTTCTTAGTCTTCCATATCATTAAAATCAGTTTTATTAAAAAAATGTGTTTGTGTTGTTTTTAAGTACATTTAAAGCAAAAAACAGAATACATTATTTTATTCATGCCGACACACCATTATAACATATATTGAATTTAATTCTAGAAATAAATAAGAATAGTGAAATGAAACAAAATGTTTTATTTTTTATTACATTGCGGGGTATACAACAATATTATTTTCCCATGTTAACACATTAAGTCTAGTGTACACATAATCTTCGCAGTGTGACAATGTTTTCCATGCTTGGTGTTGTTTTTTGCTTATTGGAGGAGATAATTTTGTTTCAAGTTTCAAGTTTTATTTTACACTCTTGACACACGAGGTGTGTTAGAAGAGGTCAACATTTTGATACATTTGAATTACATAGCAAAGTGAGTACCGATTGTGTATGCAACATGTAAATATATAATACTACAGAATAATAGCACTGCATTATATCTAATGTCACATAAAGCCTTGATTGTTTTCTCTAGAAAACGACTTATTTTAGGTATAACATAAATTACAAATAGAAATCATTCCTTGAAGCTTAAAATTGCTTGGGTTTGTAATGTAATAATTATGGATATATATTTTTCTTGATGATATATAAGTAATTTGACATTTAAACAAATAATGTGGTTCATCACCTATACCTGTTTGACATAAAGGACATATTCTATCTGATTTTAGAGTTGCATTCCAGTGTCCAATCTCTATTGGGAAATTCAGATTAGAGTGCGGAATTAACAAATAATTTTCCTATCTTCTTGATTAAGTTTTTAGCTCACCTGGCCAGAAGTCCATTGTCCATCCGTCAACGTTTTCTTTTGAATGACTTCTGAAGAAGAACTGTAGGACCTAGGGTCATGATATTTGGCCAGTAGGTACCTGGTATGGAGTGCTATAAAGTTTCCTCATTAAAATGACCTTGACTTACTTTCAAGGTCACAGCGGTCAAATATGTGAAAAATTTCAAACAACAATATCCTAAGCTTAACTTTTTGAACTAGAGTCATGATACTTGGGTATGTTATGTAGACCAGCAGTGCAAATATTTTTCTCAGTTACAGTTATGAGGTCAAAGGTCAAATTTAAATGTTAGTCGGGGGTTCAAATATCAACTTTGGTTAAAAGATTTAACAATCTTCTGCTCAAGTTCCATTATATTCCATGATATTTGGCCAGTAGGTAGCTGGGATGGAGTGCTATAAAATTTTCTCATTAAAATGACCTTGACCTACTTTCAAGGTCACAGCGGATAAAGATGTTAAAAACTTCAAACAACAATATTCTAAGAACCATTTGGACTAGAGTCATGATACTTTGGTATGTTATGAAGTCCATTGTCCATCCGTCAACGTTTTCTTTTGAATGACTTCTGAAGAAGAACTGTAGGACCTAGGGTCATGATATTTGGCCAGTAGGTACCTGGTATGGAGTGCTATAAAGTTTCCTCATTAAAATGACCTTGACTTACTTTCAAGGTCACTGGGGTTAAATATGTTCAAAACTTCAAACAACAATATCCTAAGAACCATTTGGACTAGAGTCATGATACTTGGGTATGCGGTGTAGACCAGCTGTGTGAATTGTTTTCCTATAACAGTAATGAGGTCAAAGGTCAACTTTAATTGCAAATTAGGAGTCAAAGGTCAATATGTGTTAAAAGCTTTGACATTAAAATTTCAATTTTCAAACAACAACATCTTAAGAACCGTTTAAGAGATGTTAAAATGTCTTGTGTTCTAGTTACTTTGGTCTTAAGTTACCTATATGTCAGTTGCATGTAACAAAAGAAACAGGTGAGCGATACAGGCCCTTTGGACCTCTTGTATTAGATATGATTCATACTGAAAGTTTGTCTTAAATATGGAGGAGAATTTACCACGAGAAGAGTTTTTTCTATCTCTTGGAACTATTTCTGTATGAATTGATCTTTTAAACGCTGTTTAACTACAGCTTGAAATGATTTCTATTCATAGTACATGTATTTTGAAAAATCCACAAATTGCTAAAACCTAACTTGTTTAATATATCTTTTATGTAATTATTCCCTTTAAATGCATTTGTTCATTTGATTGTGAAACATATGCCATTTTGTATATCAGACTGGATATCTTGCTCCCGCCAGTTAACAACTTAAACCAGAACATGATCATTCTTGTCTTGATTTCTACTTCCAGAGGATATCTCTCGGTTTCTCTATAAATCATGTAATTCTGAGTAGAATTTTTCACATTCATGATTCTTTAACAAAATTGCAAATGCATTCTTTCTATGGTAATAGTGTTTTCGAATCCCCATATCTCACAAGCATACAATAGGATCGGTGAAACAAGATAATCAAATAACTTAGTTGCAAATTAACAGACAATGGAATATTTCTTATTTTCTTGTAAAATGCATATAGTGCCTTTTAGCTTGTTCAGTTACTTTTGTTTTTGCTTTACTAAATGTTCCATTGCTATTAAATAATATGCCCAGATATGAATAAGAATTTTGGACTTCGATATTTTCTTCATTCAATTGAAACACATATTGTTGTCCACGTTTTCTTTTATTAAAGATGACGACTTTCGTTTTCTGTACATTAATAGTTAACT